GTGTGTGTGTGTGTGTGTGTGTGTGTGTGTGTGTGTGTGTGTGTGTGTCCACCTGTTCCTGCAGTGCATGGTTCTTCTCTTTAAGCTGGTTAAGGACTGCCGTCTCTCCCTCCCCAGCCTGGATTTTGGCACACAGGTCCTCCCTCTCAGCCTCCAGCTGACTCACGATGTCTTTGCTCTTCTGAAGCAGAGCTTCCAGGTTCTGGATCTTCTGGTCTTTGTCTCCAATCTGACGCAGCACCTGCTCCAAGTCGTTCTACAGCACAAAACAAATTTAAAGTCTGGCTCAACGTTTAAATTAGGGTTTTGGATCCTAAGTTTGAGCACATAGAAGAACACTAACTATTATGTGTAATTAAACGTCTCCTGTCTTTGTGTTCTCTCATACTGCAGCACGAGTGGGATTTTTTTGGTGATTGGTACCTGGGCCTCCCGCAGTTTGCCGTTGGTGTTCTGTTGCAGCGCCTGCAGCTCCTGGTGCTGCTGCTTGGCTTTCTCCAGCTGATGCTGCAGGTCTGTGTTCTTACTGCTGCTCTCCTTCAGCTGAGGGAAAACACAAGCTCTATCTGAGTTTTTCTTTTCTTCCTGACATTTGGTATTTTGAAATACCTATTTTAGAACAAAACTCTCATCAGCATCAAGGATTTTATTTATTTTTTATGACTTTCCTCTGCTGCTAATAAAAAAAGGGCTCAGACTCTGAGTTCATCTTGTTTGTTTAGCATTTTCCTACCTGCTCTTCAGCACGGGAGAGTTTGAGCTGCAGGTCGGCTGCTTGCTGCTCGCGGTCCTTCAGTTTCTCCCCCGACAGCTGCCTCTGCTCCTTCAGACGACCCTGCAGCTCGCCCACCTGCCGCTCGGCCTCCAGGAGTTTGGTATGAAGCTGAAGGAGCACAAAAATGCAAACCAAAAGAYGATCAACYCTGCGGCAAAAATGCACCAAATATTTAGATGTAAAAATGGTTAGGATAGCTTCATTCTAAACCAATCCTGTTGTATTTTAAACTGATTTATGTGATGAATTTGTGTAAAAGCCTCTAGTGGCTCAGTAAAACATGTCATCTGCTGTTCAATTTTCTCTTCTTTAATTATTAACTTCCTGTCAAGTTTTTCTTGTTTATATGTTTAGTGTCCCAGCAAGAAGGTACTTCAACAGCAGAAAAAACTGTTTAAATTATGTTATATTCCTCCAAAATAGTGCTGGGCGGTATGACCTCAAATTCATATCATGGTATAAATTGAATCTCTTCATGGTAACGGTATATATTGCGGTATAAATTTATCATGAAAAGCAAAGATAATGTAATTTTTAGAGCATTTATTTAGCAGAAAACTGTAATCACAATCAAACCCAGCATTTTTGCTGTAGTGCAAATGAACAGAAGTACAAAATGTTTTATATATATATATTGCAAAACCGTTTCAACAACAAACAAAAACATTTCTCAAATTTTCAACAATATCAAAACAAAGTGGATGTTATAACCAGTGCTTCAAGTGAAATTAGTCATTTAGACATAAAATAAATTCTAAGTTGGCAGAAGTTGCCTAAAATGTTATAGTGTGACAGGTCCTTAAGGGGCTTAATTAAACACATAGTCCTGTCATAAAACAATTACATATAACTCGAATGTCAGTGTGGTGAAGCCAAATAAATGTAACAGCTGCCTGCCATACCATGAGCTTCTGCCTGCTGAAATGTCCCTCTGCTCTGCTGCTCTCATCTTCATCATTTTCATCATCAGAGCAGAAGCGACTGTTTAACGAGATAGATTTATGACTGAACGAACGTCCACATTTTTCTTTATTAACTCTGTGGGTAACAATACATAAAATACACTTTTTTCTCAAACAACTTTGTTGTGATAAACTACGGTTATTAAAGCTTCGCTCTGCGCGACGTGCAGCGAGAGGGAGGAAACGATTCTGCGACACGACGGCACGATGTAACTTTTCTACAGTGGGAGGGGGAAATTTTAGGATTTATTCTTCTATACGTGTTTTAAAACACTWTTTCTTCATTTATTTTCAGAATATTTTGAACTCCTCCTGCTCAGTTGCCTCTGCACTCGCAGCCCTGTTGACACAGGTGCGYTGACGTAACTGACGACAGGACGGTAGAGGGTAAATTTCTACTGCAGGACAACTTCATATCGTTTCTACCGTCTATCGCATATACCGCACAGCCCTACTTCAAAATTATCAATAATTAACTTTCTTACAGGAGAGAATCAGTGACAATCATTATTTTAACCTGGAAGGTGTGTAGCTCCACAAAAATTATTTTTTTGAATTTTAAGGATAAATTGATATTTTACGAGTTTATAATATCACCAAATCTAWACCAAATTTGTCTGTTGTTTCTGTGGGTCTGCAGTCTCACCTGACTGATCTCAGTCTGCTGCTGAGCACCTTTACTTTCTTTTTCTTCCCTCTGCTGCTCCAACTGTTTCCTCTCCACCTTCAGCTCTGCGTTCTTCACCTCCAGCTCTGCGACCTCGCTCTCGAGCTTGGCCGCCTCCTCGGCCCTCTCTGCGAGCTCSATCTGGGCCTTCTGCAGGGAGGCTTCTGCCCCTGCGGCCCGGGCATGCAGCTCCTGCACCTCCGACTCCCTCTCCCTCAGCCGGTCCTGGACTTCCATCTTGGCAGTTTTCTGAACTCCCAGGTGCTCCTCCAGTTCTTGATACGCCTTCTCTTTTCGCGAAAGCTTTTCAGACAGACTCTGGAAGCAAAAAAAAAAAAAAAAAAAAAGATTATTGCTGCTGAGCTGGTGCATAGTCAGAAAATGGATGAACAAAATGATTAAATTAATAAAAAAAAACAATAAGGGGCAGATATAATAAAAAAATCTTCACCCTGCATCCTTTTCATTCAGGGTATTTGTACTTTATTTATTACTGTACATAGATTTTTTTAAATGAATGAAATAAATGAATTTTAAAAAAAATCATTGCACTGTGCTGTTTCAGACTTTAATTGTCGTTTCAAAAATGTTAGATCATCTAATCGAATCCTAGATGAACATAAATAATGTCTTATTTAAATCAGCCCGATGCGAGGTGCAGCCTCGTTATATGACCAGTGGAAAAGAACACTCAGCTGTCAAGAGTCAAGAATAAAGTGAGGCATGCCACTTGTCCCAGCCTCAGTTCTGACAGAGAACTTGGCAACAGGGCGGTAAAGAATAAAATGGTGTTAATGACGGAGGGAGCCGCTAACTTCAGAATAACACGGGAACATCTGCTCGGCACTTCTAACGAGCCTACAGAAACCTAAAACCACCGACGGCTGTTCACCTGTCTTACAGTTTACTCGAGGAATTTCATCCGTGTTCACATAAAATAACAGTTTGTAACAAAACTCAGAAAAACAATAAAAGGTTTAAAGATCTGTTGTTTTTCTCAGGTACAGACCACTTCTTTAATCTCCTGCTCCTTTTGCACCAGTGACATTACCTGGCTGTGATTGTATTTCATCCTGACTGACAGAGCTGGTGGTGCAGCGTCCCCCACTCCCAAGCCCCTCCCCTCCCACTGGTTTAATAATAGTGCCAGCTATAATATTTGTCAACAAGTGTAGGTTGCCAGAGATGGCTGATGACAGCAGGGCATTTTGAAGTAGCAACAAAAAGAAGGTGTGCTCTACATGAAGGGCAGACGATGAAGCTTCTTAAACAGACTGCAGTAAAAGTAAATCCTGGCTCAGAAAACCGTCCGTTGAAGCACTTTTGTTTTACCTGACATTGTTGCTGCAAATTATTCAGATTGCTCTGCAGCTGGTGGATCTGTTGTGTGTAGACGGCTGCTTCCTGCGGACCCTTTTCCAGCTCCGCTTTCAGCTGAGAAATGGTCTTCTGCAATCCAACAGACAATCAATTTAGCCCGATTCATAAAGACGTGCTTTTTGTCGTCATGAAACAATGGCTCCGCTGTGACGGAGGGATGGGTGAGAAAAAAACAAAAACTAGGATCAACAACGAGCAGGCCGCACTTTTTACTGAGATGCAATAAAGCATATTATGACACAACTTAAGAAAAAGGACGGGAAGTTCTAGACCAACTTGAGTTGACATGTTTTACCTCCAGTTTTTGAATCTTGAGTGTTTTGAGTGTTGCGGAGGGATACAGTGTGAAAYGAGGAGAGGGAGAAGGAGGGAAGGTAAAGAAACACAAGGACAAAGGTAAGTCAAAACAACAACAACCTATGATCTGTAACACACAGCAGCAGAGCTGAACAAAGCAAACACCAACAAGTTTAAACAAGTGAAATTTAACTTTCGTTCTTCAACACAAACCTGCTGAAAAACACTGAAATAAAAACACATTAATGAGCACATTATATCAGACTGCTTAGCATTAGTAATGTCAGTGTTTCCCCTACCATTATACAGCCCCCACCCACCCCCCCAGCAGGTTTATTTTG